GGCCAGATTTAAAGCGGACACCATTGACGGGGGTGGGGGTGGGCGCTCTTGATTTAAAATGTGGTCTATATGGACCAATTAGACCGTTCCCTAGTTTGTCATGCATTCTTTCAAAAAATCGGGGCTGTCCCGCCAAAAGCAGGACATCTGGTCACCTTACAAGCCCGACCCCACTGCCAAAGACTTGATTCTCACTCCTGATAGCCTTGCCTAGGGTTTCCGAGGCCGGGACTCTCAAGGAGCAGCCGTCCAACACGTACCCCAAACTGCCACCAGGGCTCCTTTTGATACTGAAAGGGAGGTGTCAAATGATGAGACCTTCCATTTAATTAAACAAAGTCAGAAATTGAAAGATAAAGCTGACTGCTGACTCTAAAAACAGAAAGTCACACGTCGGGCAGCTCAGCTCCACCGGTTGCTCATCAGAAGAAAGGGGAGGCTTTCTGAAGTGCCCAGGGGCGATTCTATGCCGTCGTCAAGCGCTGCAATGAGTAGCGATTGCCTTGATGGCAGTGAGTTTATCTTCCCTGGAAGTTGATGGTAGACAAAGTTCAATCAATCTATCATCTATCTCTCTCTCTATGTGTTTTAAATACCGACCTGTTGCCCTTGAGTGGATTCATCTGGCAGTCCCTGCCAGCACTGGCAATAGAGCAAATTCCTATCTCACAAAGCTTTGCCCCTGGGAACGAAAGGCGAGGGCTGCTACAGAATAGTAGGAAACACGCGAGGATTCTCAATGAGTTGATCACAGCACCTGAAAACGGGCGGGAAAAGAGTGACAAGCTGAGAGCTACCTTTTCTGCTGAAGGCATAGGCTGGAAGCCGGGGATCTGTGTGACAGTTACAGAATCTCTTGCCACTTGGAGATCTGAAGCTGAAAGCTGACAATCAAATGCAGCTTGATCCCACGGCTAATGGGTTGAATTTACAGTTGTGTCTGGTCTCCTAACGTGAAGGCGTTGGTTGGGAAAGCATAAGGCCCGGACCATGTGGATGAGGATCCCTGGCAGGATTGGGATTCCTGGGCAACCTGTTTGGGCTCAAGGCCCCAAGAGGGAGAGAGGCCTGGAGTGTAGAACCTGGGAGACTGAAAACGGACCTGGAACCAATTGGAGAGCCACCCATTTCTTTGGGGGAGGGGGTGGAGGAGGCCTTACAGCCCAGAACAGCAGTACTGCTAAACTGCTAACGGCTGCCGGTGGTTGGGCAGGAAAGGATCCCTAGGGGAGTCGCTGTGGGATATTTATACCTGTTAAACAACTTTGAGAGAGCTTGTTATGTTAGCTGCCGTCGAGTCCGTTCCAGCTCAGAACGACGCCGTGCTAGCTAGCCTGTAATGTGAGGTTGGAGCCCGTTGCTACAGCCACTGTGTCAGTTCTTCTCCTTGAGGGCCTCATTTTTGTTTTTTTGCTGCGCTTCCGTTTTACCAAGCATGATGTCCTTTCCAGGGACTGGTCCTCCCAAAGACGTGCCCCACTGGCTTCCAAGGAACATTCTGGCTGTACTTCTTCTAAGACAGGCTTGTTTTGAGAAATATGGAATGATTTGACACTCATTGCTAGGTTATCTGAGTGATAAAGGGATGAAGGAAACATTCACTACGCCTCGGGCAAGGCTCTGCCCTGGCTGTGGGAAGGCAGGGGTGGGGGGCAAGGGGACAGTGTCCCCGGTTGGGTAAAAGACATACAGGGGGTGTCTGCTCAGCTGAAGAGGTGCCATGTAAGAGCATTAGTTAGTGTCTCTATACCCCTATCCCAATTGATTTTTTTTTTTTAGTTCAGAAGAGTTTATGTCTTTGTTTGAAGATTAAGGATCAACCCCAATTCTGGGGTGACCATTAAAAAATGGCCAACTAGGAGGCGTATGAAAAAACTACATGTCTTGTATTCAAAATCTGAATGCTATGTGTGGGGATGGATTATGTGTATATGTGTTCAGCTAAGTAGGGAAGAAGACAACTCATTATTGTCAATTTACCAATGCATTCCCCCCCCCCACCCTTTTCCCCCGTTTGCTCATTGTAGCAGCTGAGAATGTTTTACTTGATTTGCTTCCATTTGCCAGGGCAGAGAGATGCCCCAATGGGGGGAAAAAATCTATGGTAACTCCGGAGGCACCGAAGACTAAGGTGCATTTTGCCCAAGCCATGGTATTTTCCTCTGCCTTCTATGCATATGAAAATTGGGCAAGGAATACCAAAAAACCAAAAATGAACCAAACCCAAACACTGCCATCAAGTCAATGCCGACTCACAGCGAGCCTCTAGGCCGGGCATGAGAGAACAGACCCTGTGAGTTTCTGAGAGACTGTATCTCGTTACGGGAGTAGAAAGCCCTGTAATCAAGATGATCAGAGAAACGGAAATGGACTGCTAGAAGAACAAATGATCTTGGAAGAAATACATCCAGAAAGCCCCTTAGCAGGGAAGATGGAGAGACTGTCTCACATACTTTGAACTTACTAGCAGGAAGGGCCAGACCCTGAAGGAGGATGTCCTGGAAAAAGGCCAAGGAATGAGAGAAAGCTCCTCAAAGCGAAAGTGATGCAGGGTTGGAAACAACGGAATCAATGTATCAATGATAGGGATGGCTCTGGACCCGGAAACATCGGAGTCAATGTAGCAATGATAGGGATGGCTCTGGCCCGGGAAACATCGGGATCAATGTAGCAATGATGACAGGGATGGCTCTGG